GCTTTGCCCTTTGCCTGGGCTTTGCCCTTTGCCTGGGCTTTGCCCTTTGCCTGGGCTTTGTCCTTTGCCTGGGCTTTGCTGGCATTGTTGGATCGTGCTGCAGGTTGGCTCTTGGGTTTGCTCTTTGGTTTGGCATTCAATGCCGCTGAGGCTGCTGGGGGTTCCTTTTTTCTCATCGATGGGATGCACAAGCACACCAAGAGTGGCACCCCCACCACCAGTGGCACCCTCAACCACAGGTTCCGTGCCATCTGCAGGCACAACCACAGGTTCCCCACCATTTGAAGTTGCATCCTCCACAGGTCCAATGACCACAGGATCCTCGACATAGGTGCCTTGCTCAGACACCACCATGGCTGCAGCATTACCTTCATTGCCTGCACCAGCCTCCACCATGTCTGTCTTGCGCACGTCGGCGGGGGGCAGTTGCATCACCAACAGGTGGTGGTGGTGGTGGCGGCGTTGATCGAACCAGATCAGGGCCTTCATGGGTATTCAGGTTCAACTCTTCAAAGAAGCCCAGCATGCGGTGAAAGCCTGTTTCCTCATGGCTCGGTAGAGACTGCAATGCTGTGGAGATTTCACCATCTGTGGGTTCCTGCCGGGTGTGGGCAGAATCTCAGACAAGACCTTTGGCAGTGTTATTTTGCTACAAGAAAGCATATCGCGTATAATGTTTGATCATATGTTTAAACTTTTTGTAGCGTGCCGTGTGGTGGAGCATGCAGTTGCATGGAAACACATTGTGACAATGCACACACACATGCAATCTAATGCACACATTCTGTTTGCATAACTGTTGGCTTGCACTGAACTTGTGCAATCTGACGCCAAGGACTTTGCATGGCATTGGTTTGGCCTCATCCGCTTTGTCAAGGCCAGGGAAGTCTTCATGGGCAAGAGATCGACGAAGCCGCTTCTTCATAGGAGTTGGGGTGGCCTAAGGTAAGCACAGAGGAACTACCATGAACTACCTGCTCATGGAATTCCACAGTGAAATCAATTTTCCAAAGTATAAGCTTGCAAACTTGCAAGCGTCTCAAAGTTGCAAAGTTAGGCGCTTTCAAGGCGTGTTCAAGACCAAGTTGGTTGTCACACCACTCCTCATCTTCTGGAATCGTATTGAGAGCATACCAGTTTGAAGGATCATCCCATGGCCTGGGATGATTACAGGGTAACTACAGGTCAAAAGATGTCAAAAGATCAACAACAGATTGAAACTGAAGAGCACCAATATTGCCAAGTGACATGACAGGGAGCAGTTGTGCATCTGAACCTTTATCCAATTCATCCACCCTGAGAGAGAACAAATGCACTGTAGACCACTGAGTTCAAATAGCTGTTTTCCAATCATGTATGGCATGCAAACAAAGCGCGTATCCAAGTATGTATCCGCAATCTCCATCTCCAGTGAATCAGCAAAAGAGTGCATTTCCTGTCAAACAGCAAATCGTTAGAGTGACTGAAGCAAAACATGTAAAACAATTCGCTGCAAAACATATGCATCCGTTTTCCTTACCTTTGTCTAAGACATGCAACACAGTGGTCCTCTTTGTTTCCAGTTTGCGCTTTAGATTTTGAAGAGGCAGGTTTCTTTTGGCTCCCACCAGACCCCCTGGCTGATGGCCGCTTTTTGGGTTGGAGATCCAGCAATCTCTCCAACCCTGCCAGGTCCGGTTCATCATCATCATCTTCGTTGCCAGAACCAAGGCCCAAGGGATCCAATTCTGCATCGGGGGCCTCTTCTTCAGTTTTCTTTCCCTTTCCAAGTTTTTTTGGCTTTGGGCTTTTTCTTTGGCACAAGATCTCTCTTTGGATTTTCTGACGAAGAATCCTCCGCTGAAGACCCAAACCGCGGTGGGAGCTCATGGGAACCTGGTGGAGCTTGAGCTGCACCTGTCGATCAACCCAGATGCTGATCAACCCTTAAAACATACTTTTTCGTTCGCCCTGATTGTAGAAGAGTAGAAGCTGGTTCTAGAGTGCAAGATTGTCCTGGCCTCTTGCTGAAGTAGCTGCAGTTGATTGCACAACACCTGCAGGTGGATTCGGAGTGCGAGCTGCTGATGATGTCCCAGGCGGCGATGCCACTGATGCCATGCCACGGTTTGGCGTAGTAGTTCCCAGCATTGTACCCAGATTAAAGGCCTCAGTGCAAAACTATAAGAAGGTCTCTTTTAAAGAGAACGTGTCTGACTTTTTTTGCACAAATTCAACTAGGAGGCTGGTGGGCGCCAATAGTTTTCCGATACAATCTCCACAGAATCATGCTCATCATGACCAGGCCCTGAAACAGTTCCCCTTTTTGGAGGCATTGTGGAACCAAGGTGCGCAGCTATTGTAAAAACAACTACTTTGAGCCACCTTGTTTGGCAAGGTGAGGGAAGGACATGCCAAGCAACTCCAAAGAAGACATCTTGCAAGACATCTTGGATGACTGCATCTCCCATGAAACTTGTTTGTTTGTCGCCTCTTTGGTGATTCTTGCTCTCAAGAGTCCATGGTTTACCATGCGATCCAGGTGATCACTTCAAAATCACACTGCAAGCCGTGCTTTCGATGGCTTCGTGTTATGAAATGGCCTACAAAGTGTACAAAGGAGATTTGTTCAACATAAATATCATAAAGGTTATTCTATTATGAAGATATATATTTCTATGAGGCACCTATTTCTTCAAAATGCTGAAGCTTTGAAACCCCAAGAAAGACTCCCTTGGCAAAGCAGTGCTTTGTTGAGAACCTACATGAGCTGGGCTACCCCAGCTTCCAAATCAAGTGAACCGCTCAAACATGCTACCGGGCGAACAGGGACCAGGAGCTTTGCCCCAGTTGAGGCACAGGTGTCCAGCCTGCCAGAAGGGTGCAAGCACAGGCTTAAACCTCATTACTCCATGGCATTAGGTGTGTAAAAGAATTAAACAATAAAAGAGAACACCTCCAGGCTATCCCCACCAAGAATGTTCCAAACCGGTTTTTTTGAGGGCCACACCCAACATAAGGTAACTTGCTTGAAACGGCTACCTGGCCTGCATCGCCATGCCAAAGAAAACTTGTCATTGTTCTTGAAGGAACTGATGTTCAGAGCACTGCCAAAACTCACATGTGTTGCATTCCCCTTATCCTTCTTTTTCTTTTTCTTCTTTTTCCCTTCGTCCTCTCCATCTTTGGGGGGCATCCAAGGCAAAAGCCAAGGTCTTGTCCATCACCAACTGGTCATGCACATCATTCAGGGTGTGGTGGGACACCCCAAGCTTGACCTGAAGGGTTTGGTTGGTCAAAATTCAGTTCAGGTCCTCAGCTCAATGGCACTATAGATTCCAGAAGGTTGGTGTATAACATGGTTTCATTGTTGCATGTTGTGGTTCTTGCCGGAATACTGTTGCCATTTATTCAAATGTGATGTGTCAAAAAAGTCACTGTGAAGATCTGTAGATCCTTTTTTGGATGAGGTAATTAGGTCCATTCAGAAACACTATTTCCACACAGGGCAAGCCTCCCCAGCATCTTCGAGACCCCGCACAACCACATTCAAGGGTGTGGGGACTTCCACAAAGCTGAGTCCAGTAAGGTGGCTGGATAAATGTTTCCTCTCCATAAGGATGAGCGAGGTGAGGTCCAAGTTGAAGCGGAACCATCTGCCATGCGGGTCACTGATCAGCTCATCAGCTTCCTTAGCCAAACAGCAGCCGCCAGGCACTGAAGTCAAGTGGAAAGTGAAGGAAGGCTTCAAGGCCAGCCAAGAGTCTGGTCCATTTCGCCACTCTCCACTTCCAAAGGAGAACCTCCAGCATCAAAGCAATGCCACACCATACAAGAGTTGACTCAGAGCTCCACCAATGTCTAAAAGCAACCTAGAGGCATCTCTTTGCTCATGGGAAAGTTGATTCGTGAGCGGGTGCTGATGAAGAGCTTTTCACCATCAGTGATGAACTCTGCAGCCCCATTGATGACAAGTCTAGTCCTGGGATGACATTGGGGTGACAACAAAAACAATATCATTGGACACTACCTTTCTTCTGGAATAATGTTTTATCAAGCTGAAATTGCTGCCAGGTCACGGGTTTGACAGTGATGCCACATCAGCCTCTGTGCAGGCAGTGTTGGTGGCCATCCTGATCTTTTTGGCCGGGCGCTCATCCTCCGTTGCACCAGTCCTGAAGAAGGGGCAAGAATGAATAGAGTAGAGATTAATAGAGGCCATATTACTGAATTCAATCGGGTTCAGCAGGGGTTGAACGTTCACGGTTTGGATAGTGACAATTTTACAATAGACCGGTCCTCTCATCATCTTCAACATCAACATCGAATCGAGTGTTGTGTTCTTGGACTGCCTGGTGTGCAGACTCTTTGGTGGATTCATTCTCCATCCACCGACGTGCAAGGGAGCGTAGGATGTACAGCTTGTCGTGTTTGGCCACAGTAACCTTCAGGCTCAACTCTGGGGTTGAGGTTGCATCTTGCCGCAGGGCCTTGACAAGTGGCTCGAAGTTGGGGAACTGTGGGAGGTTCAAGGCCCCAGTTCTGCAAGCCTCATACACCGCAGTGCCAAGCCGTTGCTGAAGCCCCTGAGGTGACATGTCCAAGGCCACAGAAGCGCAAAGGACATTGGTGCCACCTTCAGTTGCCGACTCCTCAGGTCAAATCTGAAGAAAACAGCAGATATCATGAAAACGACATGTCTTCAGAAGTCCTTGGACAAACAGCATTCAATATGACATCCACCTACTTCATTTAGGGTCATGCCCAAGTCACAGGAAAAGAAGCGATGTATTGCATGCATTGTTTTTTACTCAGACCAATAAACACACAGCATTTGTTCTCACCTAATTTGCCCAAGATACATACTTCCAACCATATAGTTCATAATGGCAAACTTGTGTTTGGAAGGTGCACACTAGGTTTCAAAGCAACCAACAAAACAACAACACTGCTATTGATACAAGTCCTCAAGGGCTGCCAGTGCTGGAAAGCTGTCATACGTCAGCATATCAACGAGCAACAATGTTTTCATCGTTGGCGTCTTGAATGCGTTCAGCGACTCCGTCACAATGTGGGTTCCTGCCGCAACCTTGCACAGTTCAGCCACACATGCATTTGGTTGAAAATATTCACCCTCCTTGTGTGTGTGATGCCTTCGCTTAGAGAGCGCCATTTTGTTGTTCAATAAGGGGTGTATACTAAGTGTCTTTTTTTGCATGTGTATCTCAAGCTGCGCAGGTGGTTCTTTATGTTTCTTTGCTTGCATCTTTTTGTATCCCCTATATTGTGGCACCTACTCACCTGGCACAGGTTGAGGCCATGGAGGAAGGCTGGAGTACTCCACTGAACAAACATCCATCAACAACCAGGGGTCTTTCAATCAACATAGAACATGTAGTGCAGCCAGTCAACTTGGCGTAGTTCTTGCACATCTGTCAATGCCCTGCCCATGTCCGGGAGTCCAGCTTTTGATGGCGATGCCTTGCATCCATCAGGATTTGCAATGAACTCAGAACCTATGACACAGAACCTGAAAGTCAAGACACAGAACCTATGGCAAGAACACCTACTATGAAGCTGTGGGTGTGCAATATTCATTTACAGACTCTTTACCACATAATTCTGCAAAGATGCACCAGGTTTGTACATTGATGATCTCGGGCACATGTTGACTTGGTGTACCACTCCAATTTTGTACCCTTTCGAAGCCAAGAAGGTGTTCTCCCGGTCATTGTGCACAATGGCCAGACCACTGATGGTTCCTTCACGGCGGCCATAGATGGTGTCCTTGGCTTTGGGCTATGGTGTGCTATCCAACAAGTGAGCCAAACAAGGCTGAAGAGTTTAGTTTGGCCTATGGCCAAACAAAACTCTTCAAACATTTATAGCAAAGTCTCAGGGTTGAAAACCCATGTGATATTCCTCACTCGCAAATTGCGCTCTTTGAGGGCCAGATCTTTCCTTAGACAGTGACTTTGCACACATATGAGGGACATTGAGGGACCAAAATGGACCAAACATGACCAAACGCATTGACCAACACAGCCATCCTTTCATTAGCAAGATTCTCAAGCTTGTACTTGATGTCTCTCAGATCAGACTCCTCATCTTTGAAAGCAGCTCGTGGTGCTGCTTCATTGCCATCGGAATCATCGCCCTCTTCTTTCTTTGTAGTGTCACCCCCCACCTTCTTCTTGGTCAGACTCATTCTTGACATCATCTTCTTGTTTTTTCCCTTTTCCTCACAAAACTACCCCTCTAAAAGACAATTGCTGCTAGTTAATGTTGCTGGCCGTTATTTTCTACATGGCCCTTGTTGTGTATCTCTGATGTTTCTAGATCCTCTATGTGGTAGATACGGTAGATACACTATAACTATATCGAACAACCAGCACAACCAGAGCAGATTTGGACACGGCAGTATGACTGCATAACATGTCTATCCCAACCCTGTCCTGTCCATCTGTGAAGCCCTGTTGGGATGTATCAGGAGGCATATCCCAGTCTTCCTGTATTTTGCAAGGAGCGTGGTCACTGAGGTAATGAGGTATTCGTAGCGGGAAACTCCAAGCAGGCCAGAGCTTGTCAGGTTCGCCCACAACACAACTCCATGGTCATCCCGGGATCGCACCTCCGGCAGCTCATGGAGCATCTCTTCTGACCAGGTGATCAAACTTGGCAACACAGTTGACTCAGCTTCAGCTGCTTTCCCATGGAAAATCCTCAAGTTGCTACCCAAATAGCTCTCCACAATCTCCCATGCGCGTGTATGAAGAGCCTTGCAAGGCGCTTCTTTTCTTTGCAGGTTATGATGATGAGGTTTGCAGTTTGCTTGCAGGTGGTTTCATGATTTCCATTAGTCACAAGGCAAGCACACCTCAAGTTGGCCCACCAACTTGCTTCTGCGTTTGGCTGACTCTTTTTCCGTCCTTAGTATATTGTACATAAGTGTTTCAACAAGTGTGCACCCACACATATACACATAGATGCTTATATGGCTCTCATCTGGCAGATTGGCCCAAGGCTTGAAGATTGGAATGAAGACATGTGGCTTCTGGATGCGCTGCGCTGAGAACCGACATGTGAAGCTTTGCTAATGCAGTTTAGGGTCATGATCTTTTGGGACTCAAAGAGCACTTGGTCAGCGCGGAGACTTTCAAGCCAAGCTGCAAATGCAGCTTGGAGGGATTTCTCTTGGGCATTTTTGCTCCTATCTTGGGCCGATGTAATGAAGTCTTCAACTGCTTGACCACGGACCTTCAAGGAAGTAGCATGGTGCATGCACTGAAGGTCCTATTAACTGATGGCCACAGTTTAGTATAACAAGGTTTGATGTTAGAAGAGTTCTTCCATCATCTATTCTCAAACCCCCCTGCCTCCAAGATGAAAGGAATTCGGTTGACATCCAATGGCTCTGAGGTGCCAGACTTGATGACTCCTCCAAGATCACCATCGAGGCTCCTGAAGCGGACAAGGTGAGGCACAGGGACGGAATGCAGGTGAGATTCACAAAAGAATCGGTTTAGTAATCGGTTTTTATAACAATAGTTTTAAAACTTTAGAGTAAACAAAAATAATCTATAAATATCAATATATCAATCACAATCACCATCCCAACTCACGTTGCAGATTGCGACGCCTTTTCCAGAAAACACATCACAAAACCATTGGTTTTGGAGCAACCAATCAACCCCACTAGCTTGACAAATGAATGTTGGAATCCTTCCATGCTGGATGCACATAAGAATTGTGACGGGTTTTCTGGAAAACCCATGAGACATGGACCAGGATTTCAAGAATGGGAATGTGATTGGTTTTCTTGGGTTTGGCACCGGCCAATTTTTTAAGAGAATTGTGACGGGTTTTCTGGAAAACCAATCACACTCACCCTAGAAAATTTGGCTGTAGCCAATCTCAAGCCCAGATCAATCACACCCCCCTGGAAGATTTTTGGCCACAGCCAAATCAATTATGCCAAGATTCCCCTTCATGAAGAGTTCTTCATGCTGCAGAATGATGGGCTTGGCAAAGTCAACCTCCATGACCTCTTTGACATGTAGCCAAAGGAGGCAAACATCGTGAAGATGGCTTGCTGCATCTTCATCCAATTGTGCTGCTTTCTGCACAAGAAAGCCAGCCAAAATAAGTATGCAAAGAATTTCACACTGAGTGGCTAGATTGAACAAAGCAATTGAATGCAAAATGCATGTGCCTTTGCTTTTGTGCTGGAGTCATGGTTCACCTTGCGGTCAAAGTCCTGGAAGGCTAAAGCAAGACTACATTACTGCATCCTAATGTCCTGGCCCACATTCTTACCTCACTGTCACTGTCCTTGATCAGCCGGTGCATCCAAAGCAGGGCGGAGAAGCCAGTTGGACTCATGATCTGCTTCCACTGTGAATGACCACATTTCTCACTCCTTGTTGGAACTCCAGGGACCCAAAAGTCAGCTTGAAGTAGCTCCAATGGCACGCCTGGCAAATAGAAAAGTGCAACTTGCACAGTCAAAGCATTTCTTTCCGCAGTGCCTGAGTTGGCATGGGGATGCAAATCGTAATGCTGGTGCAAAGCCCTTGCAACCTCCAGCGGGGCCCTCATCCTTGGCCCCACTCATTCAAAAACATATGAGTTCAAGCAATGTGCACATAATGAATGATCATTAAACATGTTGATGCGTACAAGGTTCAAGTTGTAGATAAGCGCTTTCCTTTGCGTGTCTATCCTGTGTTTTTTGTTCTGGCAGAGCTTGTTGTACTCTGAGCAAACCTTGTTCACCAGATCCTTGAGTGCTTTGGATTGGTTTGGCTTGCTGAGTTGCTTCTCAAGCCGAACAGCATCGCTAATGGCTCCCAGGAAGTCAATGGCACTTGGGGCCTGCTTTTCTGCCGTGATGTGTCCCACTTCTTAGATGCAAGGAGGCAAAACACACAGAAGCTCAGGAAGACTTGAAGCTTGAATGAACAGATTCGAGGCTGCAGGATTTTGCAAACAAGGCGCTGGGACTGAGGAGGCTATGGTATGTCGGGCTCTCAGCATAGGTGTAGCTGCAGCGGATCCACCTGAATGATCTCAATAGCGATCGAACCTCTGGCCGGTTGAGCACGTCTTCAGTCCATTCCTTGGTCCAAGTGCAAATAAAAACACACGGAGCCAAGGTTGAGCCAAGCAAGGTGTTGAGCCAGGGTTCCAATTCATATATGAAGGTTACCACAGCTACCATGATGAGCACCTTGCAAAAGCCATCCACGTAGCCCACCGTACAGGGAAGGAGCTTGCGGTCTGCGGGCTGTCTCAGGAATTTGACACGGACTGCTTCATCGGGCTTGTAGCCGGTCAAGAATTCAGCAAAGTGTGCAGCAGCTTGGGCATTTTGTGGCCAATCTGGAGCAAGATGCAAAAACACACTAAGAGCTCTTGCAACAAAGTAAAAGACTTTCTGTGAAGAACTTGCCAACAGCTCTAAGTCCCCCACATCCATTTTTTTGCCGATGGTTCCAAGCAAAATGCAGATAGTGGGAGCCAGAATTCATTCATATCAGCTTGTGGAATGAGCGAGATAGTCGGCCTGGGATCTGTGTCCATGAACCGATCGATGATAAGATCATCCACCACCTGCAGCACAGGGTTGGCGCATGGCACTCAAGTGGGGTTGAAGCAGACCACACAGGCCTTCTGTCTCAGCCGCACGTCCCCCAGTTTCTCTTGAATGTGCTCACCCAAGTTCCTTTGGCTGATCACCTTTGGGGTTGCACACAGCAAAAGCCTGAAGGTTGTTGCTGAGCCTTTTCTTATCATTGTCGGAAAACTGAGCCCTGAACTAAGTCAAAGTAAGCCTGCAGCTGGTCCAGGGGTTCCACATTCTCTCGTTTCACCCTTTCCATGGTCAGAAGGCCAACTGACCCTGTTCACTTGACCCAAATCTTACAAACAAGCTCAACCGATGCCAACTGACTTCAAAAACGTTAGCATTCCAATGCCTTTCATCAAATAAAGAATGGAAGATAGTGGAAGCACATTTTTCCACAAGTCTTTGTTCACCCCTGCATGCAAAGCTTTGTTGCTATGCATGCAACCCAGCAAAGGCTTGTACTTCTACTGGTGAAATACAACTTGTAGCTTGTGCGCCGTTCCTGGTGTTGGGGCTTCACCCAACGTCACAGCACTGAGGTTTTCTGTAGCCCTTGGCCCTGCCGCCACAAAAGCAAGCTGTGTGTAAGGCTTCCTGTTTGGTTGCTCAACCAAAAGGGACCTGTAGTACTTCACTACCCGCTCCATGTGAGGATAGTCCTTTTCCAGGGCTGTGGCCAGCGTCTGCACCTCAGCTGCTCGATCCTCATCAAAGGCATGGTGGAAGGTGGCATTGGTCCGGTTGACCTGTTCCCAAAACCTCATGGTGGAGTCTTTGAAGGCTTCTGGGTAAACAAGCAATGGCGGCTGCACCAGCTGTGCATCTGACATTGATCCCTTCACCAGGGCAAAGACATCAAAATGATCGCCTTCCCGGCGAAGCCTCTTTGGAGCCCGGTCATCCTTTTGCATCGTTGTCCCCTGCCCCGGCAAATCTGTCAGGGCCAGTGCAAAAATCAAAACCAAACCGTGGAAATTGCAACATAAAGTTAAGAGCGTCATCCCAGCCTTGTCGGCACATAAACGCAAAGCTTTGAGGGACGGCCATGTCCTTTTCTTCATCCGTAGATCGAGCCTTGTAAGCGTTCTTCATAGTAGCCGTTTGTGGCATAAGCTTGCACCAGTCCCTCACCTTGCTTAGTGGCAGGGGAGAGACATAGCTGAACAGTTGAGACCCATACTCACATCAAATGCAGTTGAGATGCAGTGTCCACATGTTCAATCTTGAAATCAAGACCAGATTTGGCCAGCAGTGGCTCCAATTTGTTTGTGAGGCACCTTGTAAGACATCAAAGGAGTGTGCAAGTCAGCGGCATGGTTTGCATTTTTTCACACGTCAAGTAAAGCTTAGTTATATATATATATAAGGCAAGGTTCCTCCGAAGGTCCTCTGGGGTTTGTAGGTCTGGACAGGCTTTGAGTGCTGCAGTGCAAATGGAGAAGAGTCCATCTAGGCAGGGGCCAGGAGTGTTAAGACCACAAACTGACAACACACATTGGCCTTAGAAAAGAACCCCAGCCCCAGCCTACATCTTCATGGGTGTGGCCCACCATCAAATGATGGTGGGCCACACCCTTGAAGTACCTTGCTTGTGTGAGAAGACAAGCCCATTTTCCAATGTAGGAGTTGCGGATCTCCTTGACGGTATTATCTCCCTGGAGCCAGTACCTCCGATTAGGTGTCCAGGTTGGAACCCCCAAACAATACAGGGATGGAGCTCATGCAAGTCACTGGGGCGAGGGCTCCTGAGGAAAAGCCTCGCCAGAGGCCCTTGCTTTTGCCCAAGCATGGTCCAGAGATCTCATGGCCTTGGACTCAAAACCGGAGTGGTTGGGATGGGTTGGGATGGGTTGGGATGAATTCAAGCCAGCAGCACATTCGATGGACCAATTTGATCCTCCAGCCATCCCTTCATCCGACATGAAGAGGTAAACTCCACGCCCATGGAGGATACATGCAGTGAGCGTAAGGTGCACTCCTGAAATGTTGGAACGATTTTACTTAATGAGTGCTTCAAGCGTTTGTTTCAAAATGTTTCAACATGTTTCAACAGATTGAATTTAAACTGAGCAGTGCACTTCTTGTGTTTTCATATACTGCCCTTTTTTGGACATCTTCTCATTGGCCAGGCTGGTAGGCTCAACTTTGCATGGTCGTAAGAGTCCAGGATGCAGACGCAAAGGTCACGTTGGATCTTTGCCCTCTCGCGTGCACACCAATAGACCTCTCGGTCTTTCCATGTTTGGCTGAAGTGATGAAGCAGCCTGTCGCTGATTTGAGCTGCAACGCGGAAGTCCTTACAGTAGCTGGTTTTCAGTAGTGGAACACAAACCACTTTAAAACACAGGCTCATACAGGCTCAGAATGCTGATGGGACAAGGCTCTGAGGTACCTTGCAATGCAGCCCTCATTCTTGAACAAGTAGAGCATTGTGCATGATGTGACTGTTGATGAAACTTCAAACACGGTTTCCAGCGGCGAGCAACTTTGAAGAATGTTGCCCTACATGCTGCACCACCATTGTGTTCATCAAGCTTTGTTCTCACAAACGCTTTGTAAAGGATGAACAGTTCACTCCAATTTCCATGAGGCAGCTCTCTCATCGGTAACCTTTCCGGGTCGAAGTTGTACATGAGCTGCATGCTAGGTGTCATCAAACGGCAGTCAATCAAACGCTCCAAGAGTTCCTGTCTCAAGCTTTCATCAGCCCGTTTCAGGGATGCTTTGGATGCAATCCTTAGGGAAGCCACTGTGGGATGGGTTGGTGTTGTCATGTCATGTCCATTGACACGGTCTGACCACAAGATCATCCAAGCAACTCTTTTGACATGGGCTCGCCAGCAGTCCAGTACATGTGGAGCATGAAGTTGTGAACTGAGGTCGTCTTTGTTGATCGAGATGCTGGTGGCCCTGAGCGCAGCGCATGATGGCCAAGTTTCAAGGCAAACATAAATAAGGAATGCTCACAAATAATTCAGCAAAGATACTACCAAAAGATCTCATATCTTTTCCATAGATGATGTTTTTTGCACCTCCAAAGGCGTTTGACACCAATGGCCATCATGTGGCACCATGCCTCCTTGCAAACATGGTGTCCTGCAACTATTGGTCAGAAGGGTTAACCAATTGCTCAAAAGCAAGGGCAAAAAAAAACAGTGTCCTTCAATGTACCAATCCTTTCTGTCTCCACCAGGATGTTCTCGCTGAATTGTCCACAAGACTGTGTCTTGGCTTCTTTTCCCCAAGAGCCAAAAGGCAATACAGACTCGTAGGAGCAAAGCAACCGGCATGGAGCAGGAACATTTGCAAATAGGGTTTGCAACTGCCTTTTGAACCCTCCGTTTTGAACATCCATTTTTGGCATAGCGATCTATATGATTTTTCTTTTTGTTGGTAACTGCATGCATAGATTGCAGCCGTTGCAACGTAAGATCCACATAGCCTCCAGACCCTCCATCCTGTTCATCACTGGTATCAGGATCGGTTTCCCCCCATTGAGTCATCATATGAAGAGTATGACTTCTCTGAGTCAGAGCCCGCAGACCTTGGTATCAGCAAGACACCATGTCTTCCAGGTGCACAGTGAACCACTTGAGAGAATTGGTGCAGCAAAGTTGCTGTTCACTTCATCAGAATACTCAGAGGATGAGGTTGGATCATATCTTTTGCACACCAACATGCCAGTGGATGGCACTAGGGCATTTGCAGCAGCATCATAGCGCTCTAGGACCGGCATAGCCAAAGTCAAAAAGAGTATACAGTATTTATGTGTGTTTTGAGATCTTTGTTTTAGCATCACTGTGCCTTGCTGCATGTTTCACCATAGCTAGTGAGAGAAGAGGACAAAACGCAAGATCAATTGACTTGACTGCAAGAAAAACGCTCATGGGTTCAAGGAGAAGAGGAGGGCAAAAGGTTAACACCCTTTTTTTGTCAGGCTGCCATAGCATCAGGTACGGTGCTGCTAAGTGCAGCACAGATAGCGGCCATCACACATCGAATGTGCATTGAATTTCCTGCTAGCGATGCAAGAACCTTACTGGTAGGCAAGCAGCGACTCGAACCAAAAAACAGTGTGGAATCATTCTAGTCTAGTGTCCAACCAAGTAGCTGACTCACTGACATTCATTTGCAAACGGTGGTACGGGAATCCCATCAAAATCAGAAGCTCCCTTCCAATAAGATACCGAGGATTGTCACCATTGAAGTTCAAAAAACTTCCCATTGGGCCTTGGCTTTGGGCAAGGCAGTTCTTGGCTTACCAACTTTCACAACATGCACACTCAAGATCACTAATCTTGGAAGAGAACGTCAAGCAAGGGAGCAACTCGTCATCCTGCTTGGTGAGGAAAGGCATGCAATGCAAGCTCTGGGATGTGTTGGCAAAGGACAAGTCCTTGAAATAGCCCAATAGAGCCACAGCCTAGAAGCAAGGGAAAAAGCAAAACATATGCTGCAAAGAGAGCACTGAGTGACAGCATGTGATAGCATGCACCTCCATTTCTCGCCGTGTTGTGATGTATCTGCTTGCAGAGCACAGCTTCTTGAAGCGGGCAACGGCCTGACTGATCACCACCTGCCATTTGCATTCACGCATTTAAATTCCCACAGCACTCAAACACACTCAACGAGCATTCACAAACACAAACAGTGCAGCACATGCCTTGTTGGCCTTTGCATATTGTCTGTGGTGTTTGATCCATTTTGCATTCTTATCCACTGGCCTAAAAAAATGTGAAAGAAAGACAGGTCAAGCAAGTGACCCATGCTGCATTCAATCCAAGTCACTTCCAAGCGTTGCGAAGTCGTGCTGCCTCTTTCAGCCTGCACTGCTTTTGCAACTGCCTTGTGGTTATCAGGCAGCAGAAGGTCCTTCCTGAGATGTGCAAAACTTGACAATTGGCGCAACAAACTGTTTAATTTGAACCTGGCAATGGTGCAAAGCAACATGTGCTAGCCAAAGCTCCAGGAAACCTGAACAGTC